GCAGATGAGATCAGGGGGCTGAGGGAGGAGAGGGGGTTTGTGCTATGCCTGCCGAGCTGGTTGTGGACGGCATGTCTGTCTTCCCGCGCTGACCATGGACCACGTGCGGGCGCCATCGGAGAATGGCATGGCGGGCCACCCGGGGTGGCTAGCAGACCAGCTGCGCGCCAAACAGCTGTCCGATATGCCGTTGCGCGACGCCCGCGACACGAGGGCCGACCCCATGACGGAGGGGGGCATCGGCCGGAAGCTCATATTCGGCAATATGGAGGGGAAGCTCACTTACGAACACCCCACAGTGAGGTTGAGCGAGGAGCGGCACAAGAAGACAGCGCCAATCTCCAGCTACAGCGTTCCCAGCAAGGACAACGACGAAGCCGCCGAGTGACCAACTCGGCGGCGCATGTTCGAACTGTGTTCGCGAATGCGTCCGCCGATTCGCACATCGTGAATTGTGTTCGCGAGTGCGACACAGTGCAGCCGAGAGCGAGAGAGAAGTACGCAGATCATCGCATGCCACGAACCAGACTCGCGTATGCGACGTGGTGAGCCATGCCAGTAAGGGGCTGTCTCCACGAACTTCGTTGGTGGAGCGGCAGGCCGTTGCGCGTTGATCACTCGAATCGTTTTTTTTCTGTGCTCCACCAGTCTCGCTGCCAGCCTGTCGGTTCCGTTATGACAGCATTTGTTCACGAAGGGCCTGGTTAGCAAAATGCCCCCAGTCACTATAACTTTCTTTGAGGAACCTGGTCGGTGTAAGGTCCCCAAACACGATGATTTCTTTTATGAGCGGGATGGTCAGTACAACCCCCTACTCAGTACTGCCTTTCGTCTCCTTTGTTTGTGGTCTTTCCGTTGTGGCTTGTTGGTGCTCGGGACGGCTTGCGCCCAGGCTACCAGCGAGACACAACGGACCCGCTTGAGTACCAGACTCGATCGGTTTGTCACCTTTCCTTCTGGCAAGTATGGCATGTGTCGCAAAGCAGCACGTTGGAGTTGGAGGCTGATCTTCCGCCGCCGTTCTTCCTATCAGGCTAGTTTCCTGCGGCCGCTATACAGAGTTTTGACACATCGCTTTACACTCGCTGTAAAGAATCTCTCGTTCACCATCCTGTTTACAATTCTAGTCGTCCTCCTCCTCCTCTTCGTCCTCGTCGCCCTCCTCCCCCTCGCCCTCCTCCTCCTCCTCCTCCTCCTCCTCCTCCTCCTCCTCCCCCTCCTCCTCCTGCTTCTCCTCTTCCTCTTCCTTCCCCTCCTCCTCCTTCTCCTCCTGCTCCGCCTCCTCCTCCTCCTCCTCCTCCTCCCTCTCCTCCTCGCCTCCTGTCGCTGCCCCCCACCGAAGGGGTTGTCTAGGGCGGGTCGGGGTGGCACGACGCGCGGCGCTCGCTGCCGCCCGTTCGCCCCGCACATATACCAGGCGCCCGGCCGCCCGTCCCTCCAGAGCGGGGGGCCGCGCAAAAAGAGATCTCCTCGGGCGGAGCCACAGGCCCACTGCCCAGTCAAGGATGGAGGACTGGGGTCCCGCCAACAGGGCCCAGTCAAAGATGAAGGACTGGGGCCAGGGGCCAGGGGCCGGCCCGGACAACGATGAATCCGTTCCACAGCGTTCCGGAGCGCTCCCAAAGCATTCCGGAACACACTCTGAGACCCCCCCACTCCGCCTTCCGTACCTTCCGACCTCCGCGGAAGGTGCGGCAGATTTCGTCGACGCTTTTGGAAACCATACGTAACCCAAGGCAACCCACATAGATCATGTCGAAAAAAGGGGGCAGACGGTTAGGGCGGAAGGTCCGGAAGAATAAGGGGGAAAGAAGGATGCATTCGTTCCAGAGCGTTCCAGAACGCTCTCAGAGCGTTTGGGACGCTCTGAAAAGGCCGCGGCGCCCGATACACCCTCCAGAGCCGCCAGATCTCAGAGGTTCCCGATTTATCCTTGTCTGGTGTTCTCCTCGTCCTGGCTTCGCCTTACCTGTGGTTCCTCCAGCGTTTCTGCGCCTCCGCCAGCTCCAGCCTTACATCGGGCCTGTCCCTCTCCCTGAGGTACCAGGGCGGTTGTTTTAACCGCCAGGTTTTGGCAGTTAAAAAAACCGCCAGCCTAAAAACCGCCAGGCAACAAAACCAATAACAAAATCATCAAAAACAATCATTCTTCCAGCGCAACACATACATGCCACCAATGAAAGCGCGTTGCGACGCGCGCGGGTGGAAACGCAAGGCAACAATCAAGGCAATTCGACGACCACGTTTCTTTGGAACCGCATCTTCAAACTCGAATCTGGCCCTGGTGTCCAACGTGAGTGGGTATTATCGCAAGGCCCCTGTACGTCGGGCGTGTGTCATGTGTAAAAACGCAAGCCTGACGTGTTATTCCATGTGCGGGCCCAATTATACATATGACATCATACAGTTGTGTTCGGCCACCACGTCGTTAACATAGACCATGTTATGTTACACGGTCTTAAATCACTTGAGCCCGCGCGTGGAAGGCTACCATAGAGGGTGAGGGCGGGAGAAGGCGCGGGCGAGGAGGTTGGGAGGGGAACGGACAAGCGGGAGGAGCATGGGGAAGAGAAGGAGACATAGAGAGAGAGGGGTAGAGAGAGTGAGAGAGAGAGAGAGGATCACAAACAACAAGAGTGCGATCCGTGTATGTATATGTATGCCTAGATACACATGGTGGAGGGAGATAGAAAGAGAGAAAGAGGGAGCGAGCGAGAGAGAGAGAGAGAGCGAAAGCGGGGAGGAAGGAAGCGGGGGGGCTCCTCTTGGCATCGCCGTGTCTCTGAGGTATGTCGAGTCTGAGTGTAGGACGACGAGTGTTCATGAGTCTGAGTGCGACCAACGTGAGTCTGAATGAGTTGAGCACGTGAGCGAATGAGCCTGAATGCGCGTGGCTCAGGATACACATGACTCTGAGCTTGTGGCTCTGAGTGCGAGCGAGTCTGAGTATGAGCGGGCTGAGCGCGAGTAAATATGAATGATCTGGGTCTGAGTGTGAGTGAGGCTGAGCATTGGCATTGGCGTCCCCAACTTCCCCCAATCGCATCATAACCCTCCTCGGCTCCATAAGCCTTCCTATTTCCAGTCGCTCTCGTTCGACTGTCCGCCGTGCGAGGTCACTGAGGCAACGGGTCACATGTCATCAAGAGAAGAGTCATCGCCCTCGGAACTCCGACTCGGGCTCTGGCGCGGGCGGCGGATCAGGGCTAGGCTCGCGCGGCCTCGAGGTCCGCTTTAGGAAGACGGCCACGCGTAGCTACCCCGACCCTCGACCATGTCGCGAACTTCGGGTTTCCTCCAACCGAGCTCGAATCTGTATGTCGGGCAAATTCTTAAAGACGAAGCCGATGGAATCTACATAAGTTCCTTTGCCCAGCCGATTCCCCCCCCCTGTCCACCGTCCACTCACATCCCCTGATCATTCCGACCTCGTCGTCTTCCTCCCCCTCCCCCCTCCCTGAGCCCCCCCGCCCTCGTGGACTTCCTCAGCCGAGCTTTTAAGAACCCGCCCGCGCCTTACTTGCGATACACCTCACGCTACTCAGCAGCCAACCGTGCCCTCTCATCCTGCAGCCTCTTCAAGGCATTGTCGACTCGCTTTTGGTGCTGTTCCTGTTCCTGCTCGAACTTGGCTCGTTTCTCAGTCTCGGCCTCCTGCTGCTTCGGCTCCTGCTCAAGTGTGTTCGGGATTGGCCTATACACGGTTGGTCGCGCTATCCAGGCTGAAACAAAACGAGTAAACACGGGAAGCATTGAGAAGGAGTGGGCAAAGGGGGACGTATAATTAATGGGGGCAGTGGGGAAGCGATTGACGTCGCAGTCTAGCCTGGATAGCAGCGCCACGAGTTCAGGATCCATCCCTTCCGCTAGCATCTGGGCCGCTTCGGTCTTTGTGAGTGGTTGGGCCATTTGGCCTCGGGACCTAGTTGAAACGAAAGCCATTCGAGAAATATTTCGAGCCTGAGGGGGGCGTCGAACACGAGTACTGCTAGGACGGGAATGCAGAGGGTGAGTGGGGTGATTAGTGCGGTGTAGGATGGAGGAATATGGCGAGGGGTAAGGCGATGAGATAAGCGGGGAATAAGCGAAGTACGAGGGCACCGAGTAGATAGGATGCGATGATTAGAGACGGTGGGGATTCCGACGACGACGACGACGGCGAGGAATTTGAGGGAGATTAGAACACAGAAAAGGAGTGTGTAGCCGAAGTGCAGGTGGATGACACATAAGGGCGATATGACCCGAGGAAAATGAAGAGTCATTGTTTAAAGCGGAGGAAGACTGCCGAAGACCGCTCGGCTGGTAGCTGGTGCCCAGCCGCGGGGATGCGGCGAGCGACCCCCCCCCCGCCCCGTCCACCATTAGACAGATGGGTGAGTCGAGACGAGTAGCCAATCGACAAGTTACCAGTAAGGATGACATCCCGTTTTATGCGTGAGTACGATCGAGAACAGTGCAAGGCCAACGCCAGGTCAATGCAACGTCGATGCAAGACCCTTGAAATGGTCATGTAATGTCAACGTAAGGTCAACGCAATATCAATACAACGTCAATGCATGATCCTTAAAAAGATCAATGCAAGGTCAATGCAAGGTCAATGCAAGGTCAATGCGAGGTCAATGCGAGGTCAACGCAAGGTCAATGCAAGGTCGATTCACTGTCAATGCAACGTCAATGCGAATACTAAGGCAATATGTCAAGCCACTGCCAATGCCCGCGTTAATGCGTGCAAAGATCCAACATACGATTATATCGGCCTCCGTTAGCATTTAAACGAGTGGCGAGCAGCCACGCGCCCAGACAGGGGTTGTTGCTCATTGAATTGTGTGTGGTGTGCATATGCAAGCACGTGCAACTCCTTGTGTTGCTTGTGGTGTGTGTGTGTTTTATTGTAGCATGCGTGCGAACGTGTCATGTGCTCGTGCAGTGTGGTATGTGCAGACATGCGTGTGCGTGTTCATACTACTTTGAGCTTACAACCGCTATCAGTCGGCGTCGACATGCACGTAGCTCAATCCAGCTACGACTGCCGCTGCGATCGCAGCGGCGAACTCCACGGTGTACTCCTCGGAAGCCTTTATGTGGGAGCCAGTGCCAGTGACCCAGCCCGTACTCGACCATCCCTTCTTGTCAGCGGTCTCCTCGAGCTTCACCTCGGACTCGGGCGTCACCCTGTGCAAGCGCTTGACCCCACGGCCCTCCTCTGGAGAGGCGCCGCGGGGAGGAAACTGCGAACACTGTTCAAACCACAGCTAGCACGTCCTGTCGAATCAGTGGACCCGTTCGGGCCCGATCAAAAACATTGTCGAAACAATTTGCACGGGACTTGTTTTGTAATTGTTGTAATGGGCGAGGCGGTATGCAAACCCGACGTCCTGATGGACGGCAGCGTCGGCAGCGTTCCTAGTCCCAGCCACGAAGTTCCACAGATGTTCTGGCCAAGTAGAATACACCTCCAACGGTTTCCTGCTGCACGCTCCGAAACATCCCATGTACGTGACCCTCCGAATCGATCTGTTCAGGAGGAGCGCGTCGGACAGCCCGCAGAAGTCGAAGAGCATCGACGAGAGCGGCTGCTCAACGCAGAAGAAGGCGCCCTTCAAGGTGCAGAGCGTCAGCAGCCACGACCTCCCTACCCTGCGAACTGCCACTCATGCGCGCGTGCTTGCATGCAGCCGTGCACCAGCGCGCCAGGCATGACCATGCATATGCGTTTGGATGGGGCATCCACTGCGCCCCCTGCGCTCAACGTGGCAGCACGCGGCATCGCCTTCAGGCGACCTGGATCGCACGTCTCTCACGAGCATTCTGCTACCGATGGCCGTGCTTCAACATGGCTATACAAGAGCACATGATTCGAATCAAGGGGTTCCGTGCTCTCCCCGATGATACCGCATGGACACAATGTCACTTTCTCATTCGATGCAGCACACCCTCCCTCGGACAATGCAACTCCAATGCAGTTCGCCTCGCGCACGTCCTCCCTGATCATATCTCCGATGGCCTCTTCCTTTGTTCGGCGGGTATGTCCACGGGCGCAGTTCACCCATGTCGAACATTGTGGTGCGAACCATCCAGTGCCACCGACTTTGAGGGCCAGCAACGTCAAGGAGACGTAGATGAGGCCAACCGCCGTCGCCACATTGTCCCACTTCCGTCCCGAGGATTTATCAATTGCTGTCGCCTTATAGCCAGATGCTGCTACTTGCCTGGACGCACGTGCCGAACCACAGAACGTCTCCACGAAGTCCAAGGAACGAACAACAGCTGAAGAGGCAGCATTCACCTTCTGGACAATGGCGTGGAACACACCGTCATCGATACCGTTTTCGTTGACCAATGCAGAGCGCCCAACTTCACAATGGATCTCATTCTCCATTTTGCAGGCGGCATCTGCTCGTCTAATATCATCCTCACTCATTGGGTACGCTGCGCGGTTGGCCATGGCGGCCTTCCACGTTCGGCCATCAGCCATTCATGAAGAGTTTGGCAAGAGCGGTAGGGATCCAGCTGAAGCGCCAAACATGTAATCACTACAATTGAGCCTGCCCAAAATGTTGAACATCGAAAATATGCGTCGCTCGAGTGTCATGCGATGGGCGAACTGCGCAAGACCACGGAGAATCACATTCAATCCTTCATCCGTACATGTAGTATATAGTTTGGGTGATCCATGGAACATGGTCCTCGGATACGTCCACTGAACGTGTCGGGGGCCCGTGGGGAGAGGGATGGGGTGACCAAAGCAACATTCCCCACATCAATTGCTACAAGCCGCCTCTCATGTAAGCAGCACAGCTACTGAGTGTGCGTGCGTGTCAGAGGGAGCGCGTGCATGTGTGAGGGTTGTGCAGATGAGCAATGCAACGTCGATGCAACGTCAATGCATGATCCTTGACAGGCCAATGCAAGGTCAATGCAAAGTCGATGTAAGGTCAATGACAAGACACGTATCGTACGCGTGCGTACACAGCCCTGTACAACTTCATACACATATGTACGTGCCCACGCACATGCACATGCACACACACACATGCATGTACAGACATATGTTCATACACGTACGCACCCACATACTTGAACATTGATGCGCGTGCCCCTTGCCCCATCCCCCAATCCAATTATGCCCGTAGCCAGTGGCACGCCGGCTCCCTACACTGATTATTTAATATCCCAGCATCCTGTCTGCGAGGTGAACACAAAGATGATGCTTTGGTACGTGATCCACACCACTCGCGTCACATGCACGCAGGAATATACCAGATAACGACACGAGCGTGTCACGTTCGTGTTGTTTCACCGCGACACCCATATGTCTAATCGTGTTGAGATATTGCTGCATGGCGGTACCAGCTGCCATAAATGCTTCTGTAAACACAGCAGCACCACCGTACTTGTGTAATTCAAAAACAGCGAACGACAACAATATCCCCATCTCCCCAGCCTTAGCTTTCAAGGTTCCACCAGGATGGTTTGTGTTGTGCTGCGTGCACTCCTCAACGCTCCCCAACATGCCCCACGTAAGCTGCGACACACACCGATTACTAGGAACGTGAGTATCCACCTCCCAGCGCTTCAGGTCGGCAACTAGCCGACGTAGACCCAACTCTTTCTGTTCCTCGAAATTCCCAGGGCACCTCCACGGATTTTTCAAAACCAGCCTCCAGAAAGCAGCGCACGTCCACCTCTGAACAGGGCCGTAGTATACAGTATGGAGCGAGTCTACGGCGAGCGTTCGTCTTGGGTTGCTTGATAAGGCACGGTGAAAGAGCGGGCACCTGTGCGCCACTGGATCTATAGTTGCTTGCCCTGCTTTCCGAGGCCTCCAGAATGTTATGATGAAGGGTGTGCGGGCCGACTCTATAGCTCCGATGTCGGGCAAACTGCACGAAGGCTCCACGCGGTCCCCAGGTAGCAAATCTACGCCTGATACCGTCCCTGCTCTCGTCACAATTCTCCCCCCGATCGTTTTGTTGGATGGCTTTGTCCACCCAATGAGTCCGAGCACAGCTACCCGATCAGCCTCGCTATCGACTCGCACGAGTCGTTCGCACATCATGCAAGAGTTCTCATAATCGGTTTCTTCCCTCAATGGCCATGGTAGCTCGCCCCCACATACGGCACAGTTGAAACGATGCAGATCATCTTGGCACAAGCTACAGTACTGGCACGGCGAGAACTTGCTCGCCCACGATGCCAGCCTTAACGTTTTGCTGTGCTCCGCCCAATCCCCTTTGATCCGCCTGCCGCCAGATGGGGCAAGAAGCGTATCAGGCCCATCTGCGCGAGTGGGTCACGCGGCGCACCATCGTGCATGATTGTGCCACGCATCGCCCATTTTAGACGCTTTGCGACCTGCCCGCAACCCGCCCACGACCCCATCAACGTACACGCGCGTATCACCGTTGCCACGTGATCACATTCACGGCGCCTGGGAACCCAACGCCTGATCCAACTATCGACCGGCTACCGTCCAGCTACCGTCCAGCTACCCCTGGGGGATGGGGTGTGCGGGTCGAGCGGCAGCTCGCGGTATCCAGAGGAGACAGCATTTGGGGACAGTTTTTTGTTCCGCCAAGGGGTCGTCTGGGTGCCAATCGGTATCGTCGTGTCGCCGAGGTGGAGATTGTCCTGCGACCAGCGCTTGAAGCATCCAACTTATCGACTGCAATGCTGGCCACACTGAGCACCAGCCCCTACAGCCGCAGAGGCACTTGTCGGACCCCAAGAGAACGGCTGTCACATGACGTTTCCCCGTCAGGAGATTTATCACCCAGAATCCAAGAATATTGTCAGATCGCCCCCCCACCCCAGAAGTGTACCTGACCCCGTCTACGTACAGCCCCAAGGGAATGGGTCTGTCCTCGTTGTTTTCAACTGCCCTCATCACGTCGGGATGTGTCTTGTAGCAAGGTAGGTCTAATATGCATTCCTCTCTGGTGGACGGGTCTGCCCGAACGAATTCTAAGCTAAGGGGGTCCGTCTCGATCTCTTCTGCAATTGATTGCCAAACTGGTCGGAAGGGTATGTCTCGTATTGTCCGCGTAGCTGCCCGCCTCACATTACACGGCGTCGGCACGAAATACAAATACAGATCGCCTGCACCTGTGAGCACCGAATCTAAAAGACGCTGGTACGATCCACTCTGTTTGCCAGGAGCCTGACTGTAGAGACTGAACGCGCCACCTGGCACTTCAGCCAGCTGGAGGTGGTAACATAATACACACACGTCATAAGCTGTCACCTTCGCAGATGCATAGGGGCTCAGTATATGCTTCAGGACCTCGGAACCAGCGTCGCGCCGTGTTTGTTGCTTTTGCGAATTGCCCCCAGGAACCCATGGAACAGCATGGCGCTTCCGTTTCAAAAGTGTGCGAGGTCTCTTTGGCGCCATCCTTTGAAACGGCTAGAGCAAACTCGGCTACAGCGTGTGCTGACCTCATAGCGAGCATGTGTTTGCAACTGCCGTGCAACCCCACCCCGCCCTCCCAACCAAGAAGGGCGGAGGGCGGGGGTGTAGGAGAGGTAGTGAGGAGAAACGGTAGGAGATGAGAGCTAAAAGGTATGAGAGCAGCTGGACTCAATGTCGCATGATGCGCACGCACCGCACGCAATCGTACCCATCAGACGCAGAGAACTGTCACCTCGAGCAAATGCGAGCCGCATTGAAGCGGACAAGTATTGAATGTGCCGAACTGTCTGCGTTCGGCGCCGCTTGCAAGCATGGCACCCGCGGGCTCGTGGCCTCCTTGTGCACATCACCCCCCCATCTCCTTTGACGAGCGGGACGGGCTCGACGGAACCCTTGCAATTGTGTCCTAGCTTTGCTCATCACATTGGGAAACGCATGCTAAAAGTTGGTTGATAGTAGGTCATCGGTAGGTCCCATGAGGTCAACGGTAGGTCAACGGTAGGTCAACGGTCGGTCCCAGGAGGTCAACGGTAGGTCAACGGTAGGTCAACGGTCGGTCCCAGGAGGTCAACGGTAGGTCAACGGTAGGTCAACGGTAGGTCAACGGTAGGTCAACGGTCCCAGGTCAACGGTAGGTCAACGCACCAAACTTGTAAAAACACATATTTTGAGGGTTAGGTCAACGGTAGGTCAACGGTCAGGTCAACGGTCCCAGGTCAACGGTAGGTCAACGGTCGTTTTTCGAGGTCAACGGTCGGTCAACGGTAGGTCAACGGTGCATTTCGGAGG